AAAATCATGGTCAAAAGACTGACAGAGAACAGAGAGGATGGACAAACAGAAGGTAACTTTCTTTTTTTTTTTTAAATTGTGATCTCACAATATGGGGACAATGTGCAACAAAGAAGAACAGCAATTTCTCACTTGGAGCTGCCAGTATTTAGCCCCTTTGAAATTACCCACTTTTCCTTAGGTGTGAAAACAGAAGACTTAAATCCTCCAATTTAGGAAAGTACTCATTTTGTTTACTTAAATCCATTCCTAGTCAGGTTAGCTCCAACACATGTACTTTTTAAGCACTTGCTTAAGTGAGTGTGGGAAACTGAGGCAGGTGACATTTGACACCCAAGTCTGAAGATGTTGACCTGAGTTTTTCAGAGGGGTTGAACAAGGAAAGCATGGTGGTTTTATGAGCCACAACTCAGAGGTGATTCCATGCATAAGGCACAGTGTGTATCAGACACATGCTTACCAAGAGATATATTTTGGCCAGTTTAGAAGTCTTGGAAGTTTATACGTCTTATTAAATAAAATGCTCCCCCTTTCCCCAGCAGAACAAGAATATGAAGTTGCTCTTTATTTTAAACTGGCAAAAGATCGTCAGATGCAAGAAGGGAATTGGTTCAGATGAGCCCAGAGGAACACAAGTCACACTAAAGTAATTGAAAGTCTATGGTTAAGAGGGAAACCATCCAGAGATATCAATTCCAGTGGGCAACAAATATTTACAGACGGAGTTGCTTGGTCTGTTAGATTGCTTTCCAAATTAACCAGCAACAACACATTCAGAGAGTGGCAGTTTATGTTCATAGATGAGAAAAAAAGCACTGAAAATCTTTCCCTCTCCCGTTTTTCATTGCTTCTTAAATGCTTCTTATTCCTGTGCCAAAAATTGGCCTAATTATCACAATGCAGCTATTTCCCTGAGCTGTGATAAAGCAGTGACGTATCTCGAGTCCTTGGGAGGTCTTCTTGGTAGTGGGCAGTGTGGGAGTCCAGTGTTCTCAAGTTCAGGAGGTAAGCAGTCTTGGGGGCTGACACAGTACATTTTACAGACCTCCCTGCGCGGCAATGGCTCCACACAAATGCTCAGACATACTTTGTCTGGCTTTCATTGTTTCCGCAGACCCCACATCTCAAACACACAAACTCTCCTGCTCAGAAAGAGCTTGCAAGCCCAAATGATTTAAAAAAAAAAAAAAGACGCTGCCGCATTCTTATCACTCATTTGCTAGGGCCTCTCTGAACTTCTGCTTTCCTGGACAGGTGATACAGAGGAGTAAAGCACATCTGTCAACAATCAGTCCAAATGCTGGCCATGCTTATGCTGATTTAGCGATGCTACAGCTGGAAGCACTGGTCATAGTAAGCTAGGCCCTTTGTCTTATTTATTGATTTTAATACCCCAGGACAGATGTCCTCCAGGACAACTTCACACAATGGCAAGCCTACATCATCCCTTTTCAACACGTGATACCCAGTGGTGTCCTAATATTTTGTTCACATTAAACAAAATGTGCCTCACTTGAATCCCCGTTTAAGCTATTCTGAGGGTTGAAATGGGGCTGACATGGTGCATAAATCTTTGGTCACTCACTGAAATGGACACTTCTTCTCCATGGTTTATACGAGTTGGGATAACTGTCTGAAAAACAATACATGACAAGTCTATGGGAAAACATACGTAGCTGTAATTGCTGCTGGGAAGGAAACAGTTAATACTAGTTTATACCGTTTTATCCACAAACCCTTTTCTCTTCTGGGCATCGTGTTCTCTTACTAGTTGTTATGCTCCTGGTTCACAACTAACATTCCTGGTCAGTTTCATATTGGGGAATTCAAAGGTTATGACTACGCGACCATCCACTATCACACAGATCATATACAATGGACCACACTTATTCCGATCTATGGCAAAGACACCAGAAAAGACTCCTGCAGTCTATGTCTCAGTAAGACCTGTGAATGAAATACTGTGTCCATTGAAGTTACTGACAAAACTCTTGTTGATTTCAAAGGAGCCTTGATCTTAGTCCAGGTAGCACCCAACAAGAATCTCTTCTTCCCTCCACAAACCTTTGGCCAAAAGCCCTAATGAACTTTTGAGGCTCAAAAATGTTTACTTATCATGATTATTTTCAAACACCTCTGGACTTCCATGGTCTGGAAGTAGAAGTCCTGAAACAACATAAGACAACCATTCCTTGTATGAATGGAGGCAGGAGTAGAAGGAAATTGAGGAAAAAAAGCCATTCTTGTCAGTTTTGCAGATTCAAAATAGTTTGGCAAAAGTGCAGGTTAAAATCTGTAAAGACCTAGGTCCGGGATGAGCAACCACAAATAGTGGGTGGACCGCATGAGTGGCATGGCTGAAGCAGCTTGCGTCCCACTGGGGCTCCATCTGAGGCCCTGCATCCCTCCCACCATTCGCCCTCCCTCCCCTATGCGCCTCTGACGCACTGGGGCACCAGAACACCACACGTAACTGCTTCTCCTCCGCCCTCCCAGCACTTTTGGAGGAGCCATGAATCACATGATTCACGCTCTGTCCCTGCTCATCTCCTTCCCTTCCTGAGCTGGAACTCTGCAAACAGCTGATGCATGGCGTTCCTGCTCTGGGAGGGAGGGGGATGAGCAGGGACAGAGCGTGAATCAGGTGATTCATGGTTCCTCCAAAAGTGCTGGGGGGGGGGAAGGGAAGGAGTAGGAAGCGCAGGGCTCTAGTGCAAGGACAGGGCCAGAAGGAGGTCTATGAGCCACAGATGGAGCCCCAGTAGACTGGTTACTCACCACTGCCCTGGGTGGTCTGGCACCCAGTTACTGCCTTATGCTTCTGTCCCTATGTCCTGCTGTGGGATTTACTGGTGTTACTGTCCTGCCAGCCAATAGACTGTGTCCCTGGAAGGATCTAATGCAAATGGCAGAGTTGACTTGGCTTAGCTTGCAACTGGGTCTGGTGATCTTCAGGGCAGGGTGCACGATGAATATGTTTGATCAAGCTTTTCAGTCACCTGCAAACCATTTTAGGGGCGGGCTCTGCAGATTTTAGTTAATTTTGGTCAATTTGTAATTAATATAAAATACCGAAAGAGCACCATGAATCAATCAGTAAATTAAATGAACAGCCTCTCTTTGGAGAAACACCCAAGTTTCTCCAGCCTGAGCCATTGCATGAAATTTGCCCATTAATGTCTCAAATCTGTTCTAGCCTAAAGGAGAACCTGCTGGAAATGAAGGAGGTTCATTGTGCTCTGTTAAAAGTGAGTGACAGTCTGAGCAGACTTCTCCATGACAGGAAATACACAAGGAGAATGTTGGCTGGTGGTGATGAGAACACTTCAGTCCTAATGATCATTGCAAACGCTGTCCCTGGTATATACTATTCAGACATGGCGGGTGATGTAACCCTAACCCAGGGCTACTCTGTCTGCTTCTCAAACAATGGCAGCCCAGATAACCAGTTTCCAGATCATTGAGGGCAGAGGTCATGTCTGCACACCCCTCCTCCCGCCTGGAGAAATCGATTGACTTCTACATGGCATGCCTGTTTGCTGACCCCATGCCATTATTTCTTACTGCACGTGTCCGATGCAGTTGCTTTCTGAATAAATAACGCTGAGGACATTGCACAAGCCCACATTTTAAGAGATAGCTATTAGGCCATTATTAGTCAGACACTGCATGAACTGTTGCATAAAAAGCCTGATCTCATGAAATCAGAGTTTTTTCCACAGTTTTCTGGACTGGATGATTCGGATGACAAGGAGGTCAATGAAGCAGCATGTCTACTCGCCTTCCGCATGCCTCAGGCTTTATGGTCTCTGAGTGATTTGCACCCAGTTTGGAAAAGCAGAAGTCTGATTGGAAATATTTTCGAGAATATATATTTTCCCCTCCACCTGCCCAGCTAGCTTTTTTAAAAAGGGGAAAAAATCACAGGAAATAAAAGAGGAAGTCTGGGGTTTAGATTACGCACTTTGGTTTACACAGCTGATCCCACCTTAGAAGCTGGATACCAATTTTGCTCAGAAATACCTTTTAATGTAGCACCAGAAGATTAATGATCAACAAATCATAAAGTGAGGGATGGAAGAGGCAGACGAGGTCACCAAACCCCCTACTCTTCACTTCAATGCACTGTTACTCCCTGCAAGATATTTTCCAGGGCTTAAAAGTACTGAATCACCCACAATATACACTAAGACAACCCCAGGGTTCAGCTCCAGTAGTTAGGAATTAAATCCCCCTCTCTTTGAAATGCTCTAACAGGTGAAAGTAGGCACAGAGGTGATATCACTGGCTAGGTGTATCGGGGCCTGTGAGGGGCCATTTCAGCCTGGCACAAATGGTTTAATCTTTTAGCTCAAGAGCTCTCAAGGGCTTTATCTTTAGTTCTTCTGAGCTCCCTGGGCTCTGCTCCCTCTGTCGATAACGGTAAAGCACAAGACGAATCCTAATGCAGAAATTCCACCAGGACCAGGCAGGCAGAGCAATTTTGTCTGGTGGAACCAGAGCTCAGTCTCTAGAATCTGAAGCCATGATGAAGAGAGCTGACGTACACTTTTGCACAGAATCCCTTCTCTGATAGCAAGATTCTTGACATAGAGGGGATGATAGAGTTAAACCTTCTGCAACATTAGACACACTGGGCACCATGCTTGAAAAAAAACCTCCCATCGTTTTGTTTGAGGATCCTGTAAGTCAAAAGGATCCTCTGTGCTCAAGTTCCCTGCCGCCCACCTCACCCCTCCGGCTGATATTTTAGGAAGAGCAATTCTCAGCTCATTGGGTTTTTTTCTCCTCTTTCTTTTCCCATTTTTTTCAAGCAGACCTGTCGGGGGAGAGGCTTTGCAGGTCTAATCTGGACAGCTCTGACTCACTAATGTCAACAAAAGGAGATTTTCAGCCCTGCATGCTCTGCAAGCCTTGGATAGCTTTGATTGATCACCTGGCAATAGTTTTCCAGCCATCACCCTGGGGTACTCATTCTTCTGTGAGGATAAAGCCCTTACCCTGCAATATTCATCAATGGGCTTCAGTCTCTTCACAGCTACGTCTCGAATATGACTCCTCCGGAACAGGATTTTACCTGAAAAGGGAATACAGAAAAAGCGGAGTTTAGGAGCATGAGCTGCACTAGGGGACCAGAGAGAAGAAATACAGTGAGGTGCTGCATGCAGAACGCCAGGCGTCAGATTCTGGGCTAAGACACGAATGTGCTGTGCTGACCTCAGCAAAGGCCTGATTTACACTACAACCTGTCGTTCAGGGGTGTGAAACGTCCTAATCTCCACTGTGGACAGTGCTAGGTCAATGGGGCTGTGTCTAGACTACATGCCTCTGTCGGCAGAGGCATGTAGATTAGACAGATCAGCAAAGGTAAATGAAGCCGCGATTTAAATGATCGCGGCTTCATTTACATTTACATGGCTGCCCCGCTGAGCCGACAAACAGCTGATCAGCTGTTTGTCGGGTGAAACGTCCTAATCTCCACTGTGGACAGTGCTAGGTCAATGGGGCTGTGTCTAGACTACATGCCTCTGTCGGCAGAGGCATGTAGATTAGACAGATCAGCAAAGGTAAATGAAGCCGCGATTTAAATGATCGCGGCTTCATTTACATTTACATGGCTGCCCCGCTGAGCCGACAAACAGCTGATCAGCTGTTTGTCGGCTT